GCTACTGAAAATCCTCCACCCACGTGTCAGTTTCCTAAAAAATTATACCCTATTCTACACCCAAAAGCTCTGATGAAAATTCCCTATCCTAGAGCAAACCGCTTGAAAACTTTACCCTTCACAGCCGCACAAACCTATATAGCCCAAATAGTGCAGTTCCCCCCCCCCCCTTCCCCCGAGAGAAACCGTCACGGTACAAGCGAAGAGAAGAAAGAGAGCAAGATGAACCTTCGAAGTCATTTAGCCCCACCCAAATCTGCACAAATCTCAACAAATTACATATCAAAACGCGGCAAATAAATTCAACTCTTTGAATTTAGCGGGGCATTTATTATAGCCTGCTTAGTAGGCGCTTGGAAGGAGTGTCTCCTTCTCGCTCGCACGTTTTTTCTTGAGTACATTTATTATTCCGAGCATGCGCTGTCGAGCCAGTCCGGTTTTTCTCGACCTTCTGCTTTCAAGACCGGTCACGCTTTTGTAAATTTACATCCAAACCGACGGAGAAAAATATAGAAATGCCCCATCGAAATCTTGACAAAATAACCCGAGTTTTTCACCACTAGTAGCTTAGATAGCACTTAGTTCAATACCGGTGGTGCATTTGTGATAGATCTCCTACTTTGAAAAAGAAAGGCAATATTCTGCAGAAAATAGCGTGTTTTCAGCCCTATTTAACGGAAGTTGAGGCCACCCGATGTGACATAGGGCAAATGTCACAATGAGTTTGATATGAAAAAACGAACCTAGTAACCAAATAAAAAAGTGTTGCTGACCGACTGATTGCACAAATGACGTTGACTTTTCTTTATTTCAACAAGGACTCAAGTCTAAGCGACAGGTTTCATAAACGGAAGTGGTGGGCATGTTTGGTTTATCGTGCGGTTTTGGCTTTGGCCTCAATGTTGGCTGCAATCAGTTTAGGGATGTCAAGCTACGCTGTGTATCAAGTGACAATGGATGAAAAAGGTCGCACCAACATCAATCCTTTTTATAAACCCCACCAAGTTGACGGGAACAAACAATATCGAATGTGGAATCCTGTTAGTATGTCAAACGATGGTTTGTTGCAGCTAAACCCATTTGATGGCAATGTTTATTGCAACGGTTCTTTCAGTAACAGTGGAAGTAAGTTTCCCTCGTTTTTTTTTTTGTCCTATTTGACGAGGCTACCTGGAAGTAAAGACCGTAGACTGATCACAGTCTGCAACTTTCCGCATATTGTCGAGATCAAAGCGTTTATTGTAACTGTTCAAATTAACCGAGCGTGACCTGGGCAAGAGTATCAAACATGGAGCCCTCCCATCGGAGCATTGTTAATGAGCGTTACCAATAATAGCCCACGTTCGATATATTAAAATTCAAAAATGACTCCGAGGGTTTCTGCTCATTTTCTATGTTTGGTTTGGTTTCTTTGTGCTCAATCTCTTCTGAGAATTGCGGGACAACGGAGTCGTGAAAAATTTGCAATTTTGACCCTAGAGCCATCCCCCCGGAGTCTATTAGAATTTTAATACAACGAACGTGGGCTATTTGTTTGAAATTGGCCATTTTCCATGTAAAAATGTCCAATTTACCAAATTCAGCATGAAGCAGGTGTGTAAAACGAACTAAAGAGCAATTATTGAGCTGAATGGTCAAAAGTCACAGCAAATGTATTCTCTACGACAATCTAGCTTATTATAAGTGTTGTAATATAAAAGAAAAAAGAAATACAATTCCTGTGAACGGGGCCGGATCGGAGTTTCCGTGCATGGGGATATCGCTTCGCCACTGGCCAGGGAATAAATCATCACGTGGAGTTCGCGTACATTTTTTTTTTTTTTTTTCGTTTGATATACTCAGCAGGACAACATATCAAAGCAGGCACTTTGTAGATAGATATAGAATAGATACCGCAGAATTAGAATACGTTGAAATTTGAATTGTTCCGACCCCAAAAACTATAATCTTTAGTTAGTGGTATTTTACAGAAATGTGTGATTTTGTTCGAGGTTTTTCAAGCCGGTAAACCCTTAGAAAGTGTGATCTATTGCTTAGATTTAAGCTACTCATTCTCAAATGATATCCCCGATCCCTTCTTTGCATCTTATTTCCTGCTTCGAATATAACTTTATGTTTTGTTCTGTTGTATCAAGGTGAACAGGGTTTATCAACTGTTAAGACCAGTGAGATTGAAATGTCACAGAACGAGGTCAGTCTTCTCTTCAACATCAGCGGTCAAGTATACGCCCTTACTGTAGACACAACGCAGAACGCCCTCACAGTTTTGGTAAAGTAATTTGTCATCATAATTCAATGTGCTTGCAATCATGTATGATGTATTTCTTTAAAGGTTGTATTCCCTTTCAATGATTAATTAGCCCTCTTTGCATTTTGGCATTTTCCTGCAAATCACTTTAGCTAACTTTGTATCTCTTTTTCTACTATTTTTTACTGGTGTAATATTTCTACCCTCTCCCCTTACTTAGGACGTGCCATTTACCCTGATTCAGGACTGTTTAAGTTTCTCTTTACCTACGATCACGGGAAGCTCACATGACCTTAGGGTGTACCGTTGGCCCATGTATATGGCATAAGGTTGTTAGACCCGATTTGACCCCCCGTCCGGAAGTTCAATCAAGAAATGCGGAAAATAGCTTCGCAGGTTGCCAGCGGATGCTCGTGAAAGTGAGCCTGCAATCATGCCCCTAATTAAAAGAGACCGGACTCTGGAGACAGTCGAAATTCCAATGGGCCTACTGTTTACATGCTTTCATAGGTCTTTAAAATAGCGAGAGGCTCCAGAAAGAGGCGGAAGCGTGCATTCAGGCTTCGTTTAATATCCTTGTACAGAGACTTTTAAATTTTCTTTTTCAACTGATTCAGCCAATTTAAAGTATGAGGTATCAACCTTATTTTATTTCTCTGCATAAATTTCAGCCATATTCATCTGGAGAATATCCAACCAATTCTCGCTTCAAAATTGATTACTACTGGAGTTATACCTTTTTCCCATACAAGTTGGACAACACAACATTTTTGGGATGTGATGGCACTGGCAGGGCTATGTTGGTGGATGGGATGCAGTTCTTTGAGTATCCAAACCCTCAAGCGCTGTTACAACTGCTCATCACTGAACTTGTCTCAAAATGTGCGGGAGGGATGAAGGAACAGCTACTGAAAACTGGTCGGGTGCCACTGTGTTATCCACTAGGAAAAAAAACTCAGAAAAACCTTATGGGGGGTGGCATCCACCCCCCACCCCTCCTGTACGTCCGATGGTTAAGTAACAATATCGACAATATCTGGTGAATAAAATGGAAAGAAAAGAACTAGAACATTCCATTTTATTAACAGTTCAGAATAAAAGCAACTGCATATCAAACTCATTGCCCACAAATGAGGACATTTGCTCTTCAGTGATCATTACATGCAGTGTATGCTACAGCGCGTGCTCAAAGGTATTGTATTTGCCCTCACAAATAAACATAGGCTATCGTCCGAAGCGAATGTCATGTCCTCCACGGCGTTTTGTGGAAGAATTCTATCAGCTCCGCGAAAAAAGATAAAGAAAGTGGAACGAAAACGCAAAACAGACAGGGATTTGTATGATGTTGAGGTATTTGAAGTGGATAGGACGCGAAAACAGATAAAATTCATTTCGTGGGATTCAGTCACGAATACGATGAGTGGCGTGATTACGATAATGAAAGGAATATTACTTTCCCTTCGTTTGCTTGGAAAAAATGTTTTTCCCCTCGAAAGGTCCGCTGGAGGATAGAGGCAACATTTTTCACGGCGATTGTATCGTTGCATCAAGAGAAAGTTGTGGTCCTGCAGAAAAGATGACCCCGAGGTGCGCATAGAATTAAATGTGGAGCCTCGGGAATAAAAGGAAGAAACGGGGAATTATTCAATATCCGAAAATTTAGAAATCGAACTGTTTGAAAGTATAATTAAGCTCCTATTAAAATATTCATAATCGCTTCAAACTACTTACTTGTTAATCTCGTAAGTATACCAAGGACCATTCTGCTGGCTGAATTTCTCACCATTTTCGCCTTGAAAATTATCTTCAGCTGCAGAAACCGCTTGGGGGGGGGGGGGTGGTACTTTAGGAATTTCTGGGTGGGGATGTGCCGCTGGGACCCTGAAACCCTTAACCTATACCAGAGCTACTTCAGCTGAATTTTACTGCCCTATACTAGAGTAAACTCCCCAAATCCCCCCTATCCTAGAGAAGCTGTTTCCCTAGGCTACGTAAAATCTTCAACCAACTGATCAGTTTCCTAAAAAATGATACCCTATTCTAGACCCAAAAGCTCTGATATATATACCCTATCCTAGAGCAAACTGCTTGAAAACTATACCCTTCACAGCGGCACATACCTATATAGCCCATATATGGCAGTACCCCCCCCCCCCCCCCCCAAAACACCCCCG